GATTTCGTTGTGTCGATTTCTGTATCCCGGCACTACGATTTTTTGGGAAATTAAAAAAAAATTATCTGGTCTTCGTCTTCAATTCTCTTCTTCGTTTCTCGATTTTTCTGGGGATTCTGTTTCTATCTATCCAGTTTATGTTTATTGGTCTCCTTCTACGACAAACCCTAGTTCGAATTTTGAATTCCGATTTGCTTTAGGGTCTGATTTTTGGAAATTCCCCTTTTTCCGTTTATATTTGGAAAGTAGCTCTCGAATTGATTGAAATTTGGGTTTTTGATTTGATTGCGTTTGTCAGGGAATTTGGATTTGATAATGGCTTTCATTGATGATGATGAAGATGAAGACTTTGTACTTCAATCTGCCTCAAGCTATTATCTTGAAGACGACGACAAAACTCCGGTGTCCTTTGCTCGTCTTCCAGTTCAATGGAGTGACAAGGAGAAAGTAGATGGTAGTGCAGCTGGTATCTACTTGCGAGGAACAGCTGAAAATGGTCTTCTGCCTCTTCATCGGCTTGTCAAGGCCTGGAGATTTGACCTGAACAACTTCAGACCGGAGATTTTTGTTCTTACGAAAGACAATAAGTGGGTAAAGCTTGAGAAGCCGAGGAAAAGCTTTGAGGGATTGATAAGAAGTGTTTTGATAACGGTTCATGCCCTTCATTTTCTTCGGAGGAATCAACAAGCGTCTGATAAATCTCTCTTGGAGCATTTATCTAAGAGTTTCAAGTGAGTGATGAATTTTGAACTTTTTTTGTTCTGATCTCTGGGAATTATCAATCTTTTGGGTTTTTTGAACTCATTGTGGTTTGATGTTGTTTGTAAGGGCAAATGATGTGAAGCCATCACAGAATGATTTGGTGGATCACATTGATCTAATCGCTGAAGCTGTTAAAAGAGATGTTAATTTGGCGAAATCAAAGGTTAGTAGGGAGAATTTGCTTTGTTTTTTCTTGCTGAATTTTAGTTTGCTTTCTGGGATGAATGATTTCTCTAGTACATTCATCTTCTTACCATGATTCTCTCCTAATTATGTGGAATTTTTCTTTCTTGTGTGACTAGTTTATACTTACATTTCTTACAAAGAAGCCTACCAAGAAGAGATTACCTGATGAGGTTCGATTTTTATTTCCTCTTGAGCACTCTTTTTCCTCATGTGCCTTTTTCCCTTTGTTTCACATGGTCTTAGTGTCAGCTAACTTTGCTATTATTTATTAGAACAATCCAAAGGATGATTTCATAGTTGGAGATGATGACGCAACTGTAGCTTCAGATCAAGATGAATCAGATGATGAAGACGATGATTTTTTTGAGTCTGTTTGTGCAATTTGTGACAATGGTGGCGAGCTTTTGTGGTATGTATTCTTGCTGGATATTGATCTTTTAGTTTGATTTTCTCTGGAAGTTCTTTGCAGAATAAGTCTTCCACCGTTTACTTTCTTTATTAGAATAAGGCCTCGATTGGTTGTTTGCGGTTTTGTTGGCATATGAGACAATCGTGGCCTAAAAGGTTTATAAAGATCCACTGTTATTTATCCATGTTATGTGTTGTATTTCACTGAACCAGATGCACAACTCTTGTTTTCTGCTTTGTGTAGTTGTGAAGGAAGCTGCCTGAGATCATTCCATGCTACCAGACAAGATGGTGAAGATTCACTTTGTGCTTCTCTTGGCTTCACCAAAATGCGAGTGGAAGTATGTCATATATATTTTCTTATGAGTTCTGAATATATCTGAACGGCTTGGTTTTCTTGTCCAATTATCTAATCCTTTTGGTTAAATTTTGCCTGCCATTTGTAGCATGGAGTTAATCTTTGTTGTTTATAAATCGTTTTCCAGGCAATTCAGAAATACTATTGCCCAAACTGTGAGCATAAGATACATCAATGCTATATTTGCAAGAAGCTTGGCTCCTCTGATAACTCTTCTGGGAAAGCAGAGGTATGAAAATTGTTGATCTCTAATGTTGAATGCTGTTCAGATCAATTTGGTTAGTAATGGTGTCTGTCAACTAATTGATGAGCTTTGCATTTAATTTAAACATGTTCTTAGGTTTTCCAATGTGTGTCAGCCACCTGCGGCTACTTTTACCATCCTCGTTGTGTCACAAAACAACTACGTTTAGGAAATAAAGCAGAGGATGAAGCACTAGAGAGACAAATCATTGCAGGGGAGTTTACATGCCCATTGCACAAATGCAGTGTCTGTGGCAACGGAGAGGTTAAAACTGACCCTAACTTGCAATTTGCTGTATGCCGGCGTTGTCCAAAGTCCTACCACAGAAAATGCCTGCCGCGGTATACATTCGTTTATTAGTCATTCATTTGATATTGCTACTCTGGAATTCTATTTGAATAACTGTATTGTTGGTTTCCAGGCTAATTTCTTTTGAAGATATTGACGACGAGGATATAATTACAAGGGCATGGGAAGGTCTCTTGCACAACCGTGTACTCATATATTGCCAGTAAGAATTCTATTTGATGTATTTTCTGTGGGAATTCAAAATTAAACTTACCTTCAGACACTTATTTTGAATGATTTCCCTTGCTTAGAGAACATGAGATAGATGAGGAGCTCCTGACACCGGTTAGGGACCATGTTAAATTTCCTTTTGAAGAAGAGCAGAAGGTTTTAATGGCACAGAAAAGAAAGATACTGGATTCACATGTGGGAAGAGACAAAGCGAGACCTAAGACTAATGAGATTGCTTCACGAGAAACTTGTGGAAAAGCTTCTGTAAAACCAGTTAGAAGTTCGTTTCCTTCTTCAAAAGATGGTGTCTCCGCAAAGAAGCATGGATTAGTCTCGTCCGTACCAGATCATTTGAGGAAACGAAAGGAGATTCATCCATCCAGAAAGTCTTACTTAGAGCCAAACAAATCCCAGAGGATGATGGATTATGGAGAGTCCCGTGAAGCTGGAAAAAACAAGGTCGTGAAAGAGACACGCAAAGGTGATAGAAGCAAGGTTTCACTGGGTGAGAGGCGTGTGGTTCCAGTTGATAGGAAGCAAACTACGACCGACTCAATTGCCTCCAAGGAGCCAGGAAGTGAAGTTCCGACACTAGACATTGACTCTCAAAGGAGGTTAGTATATTTGTTGTTTGAAATTTCAGTTTCTTTCATTTCCCCTTAAAATTTGTTGAGGACCTAATAATAAGTTTTTTCCATGGTATCTATTTTTGCCAATGTAGGCTATTGGCAATAATAAAAAAATCTGCAGAAGAAATAAGTATGGAAACTGTTTTAAAGAAATACAAGAATCCATATAGGTATTCAAACTCCACAAAGAATGCTTTGGACAAGACGATCACTATGGGGAAGGTAGAGGGCTCAGTTCAGGTGGGCTAGAAAGCTGAACCTGATCCCTGTCTGGCTACTCTTAGCGCCTTATTTATGACACTTCGAATTTTGTTTCTTCAGGCTGTCAGAACAGCACTAAAAAAGCTCGAGGAAGGAGGAAACATTGAGGATGCAAAAGCAGTTTGTGAGCCAGAGGTTCTGAGCCAAATCCTCAAGTGGAAGGTCATATGCTTAGCTCTTTAGACATCGCAGTAGCTGTCAGTTGTAGATTCGTTTCTAGTGTCTATGCCTTAGAATAAAGGATATTTCTGCATCTTTTTTTATCTCTGCTTGCAACTTTTTGCCAATCCTCTAGATGTTTGTTTCTTTTGCTTAGGATAAGCTCCAAGTTTATCTTGCTCCTTTTCTCCATGGTGTACGCTATACCTCCTTTGGTCGTCATTTTACTAAACCCGACAAACTTCAACAGGTAATCTATCCTTCAAAAGCATAAATAATATTAAGGTCCCAACATTCTGTAAGTTGTAAGGATTATTGGTTCACACTTAAAAATTGAACTCAGCAACCGAGAAAGAAAAACTGTCAAGAAGAAATGATTTGTTAAATGTCTTCTGTGACCGACTTAAACTGTCTTCTGTGAGGATTATTATCTGTTATCACCTCCATGACTGGTTTACGCTATCTATCACATTCTAAGTCATGTATCTGAAGCTTGTTACCTGATCAGACCTTATTATTACTTTGTCATACAGATTGTAGATAGGCTCCATTGGTATGCAGAAGATGGTGATATGGTGAGACTTGCTCACAAACGTTATCTTTTAGGGTTTAGTTTCATTATTTTGTTTGCTTTTCTTACTTTTTCTGAAGTTTGATCTCATGAATTATAATGATCGATTCTTGATCTTGTTATCTAATGATAATTTCTGTGCATAATGCCTGGTTTCTGGTATCTCTGCCAACAGATTGTCGACTTCTGTTGTGGTGCTAATGACTTTAGCTGTCTGATGAAAGTGAAGCTTGAAGAAACGGGGAAAAAGTGCTCATATAAAAATTACGATCTTTTTCAAGCGAAGGTAATGACTTGTGCACCTGCTATCATTGTGAGCTATAAAGTCTTATCATTGACGCAGAGCAGCAACATGCTGGATAATGATCTGCTCTACTTATTAGTTTTCTGGATTACTCATTGAATTATTTCTTTTACTTTCAGAATGATTTCAATTTTGAGAGAAGAGATTGGATGACTGTACGGAAAGATGAGTTGATAGATGGTTCAAGGCTGGTATGTTGAGAATTTCCTTATAATCTGAACTTGAACTTTGTGCAAGAATAGTTTGAGTAGTATCTGATTATCTATATATTTGGCAATATGAGTAGATTATGGGGCTAAATCCACCATTTGGAGTCAACGCTTCTCTGGCAAACAATTTTATTACTAAGGCTCTTCAGTTTCGCCCAAAGATTCTCATCCTCATTGTTCCTCCCGAGACTGAAAGGTTTCAGTTTCCATCTATATCATCTGCTCGTCTATACAAGTCAGAACACTAAAATAACTACTCTCTCTCTCTGTGGTTAATTGTGACACTTTTCTCAACAGGTTAGATAAAAAGGACTATGTGCTTATATGGGAGGATGAGACATGCCTATCTGGACAGGTAAATTATTCGCGATTTTTTGTTTTCCCCCCTGATCTTTTTCTTAGAGGTTGAGCCTTTCTTGAGTTTCAGTTAAAAAATTTTTGTTGTTTATTCCCTTCAGTCATTTTACCTGCCTGGATCTGTCAATGAAGAAGACAAAAAATCAGATAGCTGGAATAAAGTTTCTCCACCACTCTCTCTCTGGAGTCGGTCCGACTATGCTGCCAAGCACAAGAAAATAGCAGAAAAGCATTACCATTTGTCTAGGGATGTGGGGAGCTCACAGTTAAAGAAAATTGAAGTAGCAAACGCATCTTTGCATCCACTTGGAGCTTCTGAAGGCATATGTAATGTTAATTCTATGCCGAGAGATAGTCCTTTTGAAAATGGTGAGAATTCCAGATTGGAAAACGAAGACATTCCTATGGAAATAAATGAACTCGAGGTAGCTGAGTGTGTTAATAACATTCTGCTCTCTGAGAAAACCGAAGCACGGGAAACAGTTGCATGTGTAAATCATGAGTCAGATCACTTGCCAAGGAGAAGTCAGCTCGAAAAAGAAGAAAAGACCAAAGACTACTCTGGTAGGATGCTTGGGAAGTCTGTGGATTCTAATGACGTGGATTGGAAGAGCAATGACATGGAAGAGAATCGTGGAGAGTTAAATAGAGGACTGGAGGGCATTGAAGGAAAAAACCCCGAGATGACATCTGATTGGCAGAGTCCTGTGAGGTCTTCTGATGATATATACGCTGTCTGCGAATCACTTTCCAACACGACGCCTCAAAGATCTCACGAGTTTGTAGAAGCATCTCTGCCTGTAATAACAAGGACAAAAGGTAAGTTGGGAAAGGCTGTTAGAGAACCTGATAGCAAATTGCGGAGCACTGGGAAACCTGAAGAGATGCGGAATAGGCCTGGATCTTCAAGATCTTCTAGAGCCGATATCTACACTGTTCGTCAATCACCAGCAAATACGGGTCAGACACCACGCGAAGCGTTTGAACCATCTTATGGTGAATGCATGTCCCATTTCGACGATGGTCTGGCTGCTAAGTATGGTTTTGGTGGAGGCTACAGAATGCCGGATCCTCCTTATATACCGGATCAGTTTCCACTGGCACCAGCTATGAGGAATGGTCCTAATGAGATGTTTGATTACCGAGGATACCCTGATTTCAACAGAGGGATGGATACAAGAGGGTATTTGCCGCGGTACAGTGGTCAGTTGGACCCCGTGTTAGCACCTCCTCCTCCAAATCTGATGGACAATACATTCCCGATGCAACAACGATATGCGCCTCATTTTGATGGGATGAATTACCAGAGGATGAACTCTTTCCCACCTCCGCCTCCAGTGCAACCTAGTGGACACAGTATCTATGATCCTTCTGGCTTTCCGTTGCAACTGCCACCACCTGGAGACTTTAGGATGAGTCCAATGGGTTTTGCCCCTGGACCGAACTACCCTTATACTGGTGGATCTGGCGGTTGGGTTAACGACTAAAACCAGCTCTCATTTTCCTTGTATTTGCAACATTCATTAGTAGTAGTTTAGTCGATCTTTTTTATCTTTTTCTCTAAAGTTGTAGGACGACTAGAAGAAGAAATCTATAGTTCTCTACCACTCATATGTGTCTACCTAGTGGGGCCTTTTTGGCTGTTTAATAACTATATTAAAAAGCCAGCTTCTATCGTCTTTAAACTTTATGTCATTCATTTTTGTGGTGATATTTAAAATACTGGACCACGTCAAAATCCGGTGCTTCCACAGAATTAGCAAAGGACAGATCTGAGAAATGGAAGAAGAGTTGAGAAACTTAATCAAGGTATGGATCTCTGCCTTAATCTCCATCTGTTATTGTTATTACATATCATCTAGAATCTCTAAAGGTCTTCTTCGTCTCCTCTCTGTTCTTCCCATCTGTATTCTGTTTCTTGCTCTTCCTCTGTTCCTCTCTTCTGTGCACTTTTGCAGCATTTCAGCTCTTTTTTTCTCATGGCTTGCAAACTTCAAGCTTCTTCTCTTTGCCTTCGATCAAGGACCTTTGTGCCCACCTCCCCCAAATCTCCCTCGTTTCATCTGCTTCGCTTGTTTCCCCATCAAAATCAGACGAAACCCTTCTCCAAATACGATCAAGAATCTTCATCGTAAGAATGAACCTATGCCTAAATGGGTTTTGGCTGTCAAAGTTTTGGTATTTGGCGTCTTGTTACATGTCTATGAATACAGCGATGGTTGGCCTCAGTTCGTTGTCTTGGCACTCTATTGTCTCCATCTCTACCTTGAGGTGGAACTTGCCCTGGTGTTCGTCGGGGCAGTGGTATCTACTCTTCTCGGGTGTGACACTGAGCCAGTGTTCAATGAGCCTTACTTAGCCACCTCTCTACAAGACTTCTGGAGCCGCAGATGGAACCTCATGGTTTCAGCCGTCCTACGCTCAACCGTCCACATTCCGGTTCAGCGTTTTTCCACACGCTTTCTCGGTTCAAACAAAGCTGTGTTAGTCGGGGTCATGGCCTCGTTCCTTGTCTCGGGGTTAATGCACGAGCTGGTCTACTTTTACGCAATCCGTCTGCCTCCAACTTGGGAGGTCACTTGTTTCTTTGTGTTGCATGGTGTTGCGACCGCCGCAGAGATAGCGGTGAAGAGAACACTGCGGTGGAGACCACCGCATCGGGCTCTTTCGGGTCTTGCGGTTCTAGCGTTTGTGAGCCTGACTGGCGTTTGGTTATTCCTCCCTCAACTGCTGAGAAACAATGTTCATGAGAGAGCGATTAGTGAATGTTTGTTTGTCATTGACTTTGTCAAACATAACTTGTTCATTTTTTCTGGTTGATCCCTTTTTTTTTTTAATATACAAAAACGACTAATAACAACAGAGCAACAAAAATTGAGGTTCTCGTCAATGTGTGAAAACATTTAGAACGCTAAAACTAGTACAATTATAGATGTCCAAGTGAAAGCTCGTATTAGTAAGGGAAATTGGCATGAATGACTATAAAAAAAACATATCTAATAATCTACCAAAAAGTATCCATGTGGCCAAATCTTAATCACTAAATTTAGGGGTTTTAGTTAGATTATTAGATAACATTTGTTTTTGGTTATTCAACCAATTGACCCTATTAGTAAACCCTTTCTCCAAAAAAAAAGAAGTGAAAGATCATATGACAATATCAAAGGTGATAAACACAACTAGTTGAGAGACATGTTTAACATGAGATTAAATTGGATCAAGCGCGACAATATTAATACATAATATGTTTGCAAAAATGATCTAAGAAATGAAAATCTACTTTGTAAGAAAACGTGTATCCAAAGAAGAAAAAGAAGGCACTACTGTGTATGTCAAAATATATGGGGTTACAAAGCAAAACAAATTCACTCTGCCAAAATAAGTGAGGTCATTTTCATTGGAAGACTCTCACAAGAAACTAATAAATAATAAATATTTAATTGCAAGAGTCTTTAGAAAAAGTGAGAGAGTTTCTCAAATGAGAGATTTTGAAAGAGTGTCTAACAATTTTGAGAGACTCTTTTTAACATTAAAATCCAAAAAAAAAAAATTTGAGAGACTC